TCAACATGGTCAGATTATTTATTTTTTCCCCTCTATGCATTGTCTTTCTATTTTCCCTTAACTTGGTTCATTGCTTTCAGCACAAAACTCAACAATGTTATTCTGTTTCTTTAGGTTGTAGATAGTGGTTGTTACAATGCCAAACTCCTCAGTCAGATACTTCACACTTACACTGCTGTCAAGTTTTTCCAACAATTTGATTGTGATATAGATAAACATAAATGGTTCCTCTTTCTTTTCACTATTACCCATAGGCTATTTAAACATTTTCAGCAGTATCTTAACACCCCAGAGCACAAAGCATACAGTAATTGCTGCTGCTCCACCACATCTTGCACTGAATGATCCATTTGTAAAGCGCTGTCAACTGTTTGGATTCTGGAATTTCGATAAAGGACTCGCTACTGTATTTGCATTAGTGTAAATCTTGGGTGGAGGGGTAGAGGTTGTCCAAGTAGTTTTTTTTATGGTTTGACATACTGTTTGTGTTAGAGCAAGGTAACATTTATGAAGGGACTTTGGGGGGAAACCAGTTAGCCAGACTCGAGTCTTGGAGGTGGGAGGTACAGCAACTATGCTGTGTGTGGGGGGGGGGGGGTGGGGGATGGGGGGGTCATCTGAACTGTAATGTTAGCACCCTTCTGGCAAGACAGTAAGACAGTGATTGAACTGAGTGACAGCGAGTGTGTGGGAAATGGCTAGTTTTTTTCTCTTTAAAATATTACACCTTTCAGAATTAAATTTTTTAAATAATTATAATGACTAACAAAGCAGATTCAAAGACTATTTAGTAAGCACAGTATTTAATATAGCATAGATGACAAATGGCTAACAGTACATTCAGCGAAGTCTAGCATTTTTGACTAACTCGGATGACTGCCTTTTATATTTCTAAATTTGTTTACACTTGATGCTTGAGTTGCATAAAATGTAGTTTCATTAGTTGATGAATTTTCCTTTTATTTTGACTCTTTGGTATATTTATAGTTATAGCTGTCTCATGGGGAAGCACTACCTGTAGGGGTAATACAGCATCTTGGGAATGGGAGGTAATCAGGTGTGATCCAGGGAAAGGAGGGAGAAGGTTATTGTAATTCTTTAAATCCATATCTCTCAACCCTTAAACGGTCCAAACATATATGTACGTTCTCTCGCGTAGTGCCCCCAAACGTATGTGTTTCCTTTTTCATTCAACATTGGCACGATAAGCCTGAGTCGCCTAGACATGAGAGAATGGGTGTGCGCACTCACTGTGCGCCATATGAAAAAAATTGGGGACGCCTGGGTACCATATGCTCTTTTTCCTATTAAAAAAATTTTTTTCTCAAAAAATTCGGGGTGCTACGCGAGAGAACGTATATATACATTTGGACCATTTAAGGGTTAATGAGCCTCCAGACACCTACTTTGACAGGAACATACTCCAAAGATGTAAGGACTGGTGTAAACTTTATCTCACTCAGTAATAAAGCAAATCATTGAAACGGAAAATTTAAGTAGGACTAGACCTATAAATCCTTGTATGGTATCTTGTCTTTGTAGATAAAAATCTGCTATATAGTTTGTAGGAAAATGAGGTGAAATGCGAGTTCAGAGATAGCAAAATAATGTGTTCTGGAGAAGAATTTTGGTGAAGTCAGGCTAAGAAACAATGTTAGTGCATTGGGTCTCCTCAGAATGTTAGCTAGTAAATACTTTAAAAGGGAAAAATAATTTTTTTACCCCTCCCCTCCCCCCAGGTAGTGGCTAGTTCTGCCAATATACGTGACAGTAGGATTAAGAAACAAAACATTTAAATTAAAAATTTGTTCTGTAATGTAAACTAAATGATTTTGACAGAATACTGATGCCTTCTGATTTTACAGACATGCAACAGATGTTATGGAGACCCAGGGATGGAAATCTATGATACAGTCACATCCACATCTAATTGCCGAAGCTTTTAGGGCATTGGCTACTCAGCAAATTCCACCTATCGGACCTCCACGTAAAAGGATAAAAGCCAGTCCCTGAGTCTGGATGGTTTTTCTTCCAGATTCCCATAAGTAGACTTGGCCATTACCCCCAACACCCCTGGCCACACATTCACACTTGATTTAACATGATTGGCTATATTGTCCTGTGTAAAATGCACCAAGAGAAAAATAGCATTGTGGATCAGTGTTGTGAAACTACTTGCACTAATTTGTGAGTGGTGTTAAAAGCCAAGCTGTGTTCCAGGCCATGAGAAGACAAGTGTGTGATGGTGGGGCCTGGTAGGGGGAACCAGGCCTCATCCCACCAGTCAACAGAGTACAATCAGGGGACGAGAAGTCCCTGCCCACTCAGGTTGGTAGGGCTGCAGTCCCTCCTCTACTGCGCCCAGTTGCTCCTGCCCCCCACTAAAAAGTCCACCAAATGATCTCATTGGGGCTTGTCCTGCACACAATTTCTTTTCAAAGCCACAGACTGAGTGTGCAGGCACCGGACTCGGAAGTGCATGTGTATCTTTGTGTAGATATCTGTGATTTAGCAAGTGATGGCCCAGAACATTGGACTCTTGCTGAGTCTTGGACCTTCCACTCATTACTTTGCTAATTGTTGTTGTTGTTACGTGTGGCACTCTCTCGTCTTTCAAGCTAGCAAGCCAGGCTAATATTTGAAAAAGGTAATACAGGCATTTCAGGGAGGAAAAAATAAAAGAAAAGCAATCAGGAGCCTTTGTTTTATTTTATTTTATTGGTGATGCCAAAGTAGCACCTTTTTGAGGGTTTGATTTCCTCCCTCTTGGTCATTGTCCTGTTGAATAGTTAAAAGTATTCATCTCCTGTGTTATGGAGGATATTAAATTCTTTATATTTTACAGGAGGAACTATATGGAAATCTTAAACATCTGTCTTATGAAAACTCGTCTGCAATGTACAACTTTTAAATTAAAATGAGTTTTTGTAGTCAGATGCAGCAGACAAAGTATACTTCTGATTGAGAAATTTGTTAAAAGAAAGACAAACCTGTAGTGTACAGTTACTTTAAAGTGTGATGTCTGATTCCACCGATTCAGCTCAGGCTGATTTATATTTACATATACAGTATGTTAAAATAGCATCCTTAAGCTTCACAGGGTATTCTCAGTCATTAACATGGAGTCTGTTTAAAAAGAATGTTACGACGTGTACTGAAAAATGATTGTGTAGATGGTAATACTTGAATCTGGGAACATTTTGAATGAAATGAAACCTTAAGTGGATGGTGTAAATGAAAATACTGTACTGTATTGAAAATTTAAGATTTGTAACAAGATTTTATATCTTTAATGTTTCATTGTAACGTCAAGAATTTGTGAGCTGTGTTAATCTGTGAAGAGCAGGCAGTGAACAATTTGTGCCATGGTGTAGCTTATGAGAACAACCCACCCAGACCAGCTAGAATATAAAGTCTGTCATTTAGTCTGTCCTAATTTCTTAAAATACCTGTGTAATAAATGCTAGCTAGGCCACAAAATACCAGTTTAAAATCTCCAAAGAAGGTTTCACAAGCTGAATTGACAGCTTTGATCTACACTAAGAATCCCAGTTGATTCATCTGCTGCCGTGCCATGCTATCCACCCAGCATCAGTGTACTCATGTTAGGATGTGTCTATTCATGTTAAATTTCTGCCAGGTATACCTCTTGTTACCATGAGTTCTAATCTGTTTGATTATTACTCATGGTTTGCTCATTCTGAGGCTCTCCTCTCAGACTAGTTGCTTTATGCTGAAATTGGTGGTCAACAGTGTACAGTGTTGCTGCAGCAGCCTGCAGTATATAATTATTGGGCATCACTAGTGATAACAGAATTGTTGACCACCAAGTTATCAGCTATAGTCATCCACAATCATTCCTGTTGTAGAAAATCAAACTCTTAAGCAAACTACAAGTTTGGTAACAATAGTCATGCAACAGTTCAAATATATATGTTAATTTATGTATTTTCTAGTACAAAGTGAATGTCTTCTCATCTTCAGTTTTCTTTTTTATTCACACTTCAGTAACTTTTTAGAAATATTTGGACACCATTGTTTTGTCTTAATTTTCATTGATGCTGAATTGGTAATTTTAGTTTCATGGAAAGGGCTGAACCCATGAGGGTTATAAGAAATCCTTTAATTAGTTACTTGTCATTATACAGGTGTCCAGAATTTTCTGTTATTACATGGGAATCTGTAGTCATTTCTTGCCAGCAAATCAGATTATCAGTAGGTCACGTATTTGCCAATTATCACTACATTTGTGGGGAGTGTTAATTATTATTATTATTATAATCAAAAAGAAGTGCTAGGCCACAAGGACTATACAGCTGGGGAGTGTTAAGTTGTGCATTTATAGTGCTTAGTGGAAAGGGAATTAAAAATCAAAGTGTTGTGACAATTGGTCACAACACTTTCCTATTGTGTAAAGTATTTTTTTTTTGGGGGGGGGGGGTCATTTCAGAAGAAAAAACTGGTTAAGAACTGACTTTGGCATTACCTTGGAATATTTTGAAATTAGACATTTTATTCATACCCCAAAATTGGGGAGGTTCTCATAAAATTTGTTATCAAAGTGGTGGAGGCATGGTGGCTGGTCTGGGCTGGCTCTTAGTGTGTCGGCGCCCGGGTATGACAAAAGTGTCTGCCGCCACACTGGTCCTGCTGGTCATGTGATGGTAGGCTCTGTGAGTCTCTACCTCTGTACTCTTACACTCAACAACTCTCAATGAACCAATAAAGTTGGTTAAATAAAATGTTATTTCTTCCCATGTAAATAGAAAATACTGAATTAACAGATCTGACAAAGCATTGTACTCTTCTGCAAATGTGTAAATCACTATGCTTTGTAATAGATTCAGTCCTAAAGGAACTATCACATGTATTTTTTTTTTTTTTTAACACTGACAGTCTTCCACCAAGGTAGGAGGACCTGAAAAGGAAACATTCACCATCTTGTCAGGTGTGCCGATACTACAGCTAGGGTGCCCCTCCAAACTGCAATATCCCCACACCACCTTCAGTCCAGGTGTTAACCTGCTCACACCATCAGCAGTTAAAGATCCTTTGCCTCCATTACTGTGCTTTCTATCTACATGCTGGATGTCCAAGTCCCTTGCATACCAAAATTTCATTACCTCCAACCTTTCCTAAGGCAATCCCTACCCTGCCTTCCCTCCATTATAGATTTATACACCCAAGTCATCCTAATTCTTCTCCATCCTCTATGAATTTTCTGCATAATTACACCGCACATTGCTCTGACACATCTATACTGCCTCCACCTTCTCACAATATACACAACCCATGCTTCACACCCATAGAAGTGTGTTGGTACCACTACACACTCATACCTTTCCCCATTTTTGACTCCATGGATAATGTTGTCTCCACAGATGTCTTGGTGCACCTCCCACCTTATTCCCCTCAACTCTATGGTTCGCCTCATCTTTCATAGACCCATCCGCTGACAAGTCTACTCCCCAGCATCTGAATGCATTCACTTCCTCCAACCTTCCATTACCTAATTTTTTTACCTTCCTCATCATGCTCTTTCCTTTGTTCACTTTCAATTTCCTCCTTTTACATACCCTCCCAAATTCATCCACCAACCTTTGCAACTTCTCCAAAAAAGTGTCATCAACGAAAGGCAAACTGACAACTTTCACTCTGTATATTCTAATCCCATGCCTCTCCCCAACACCTTAGCATTCACTTTTTAGAACCCCCAATCTTACTACTTTAAGTTGTATTTTAGGACTGGTTGATTGGGTCAATGGAAGTCTCTCTATTTCGCTAGTATGCCTTTCGTTCTGTGGACCGAGCACAATAACCCACTCATTCAACTATTTCAGCTATCTTGTACATAGTGATGAGAATTTGGTAATCTGGCCAATTTAAAAATAATTCATAATAAACAATGTAGACAATCTTGGCACCAAAAATCATTTACTCAATTCATTAGTCATGTCCCTAGGCCTCTCCTATACACACTTGCTATCCATTTTGAATTTTTTCACTCCTCAGATAATATATAACCAGGAAACGTTCATGGTTTACAGTACACCAATAATTGAATCAGACCTATTAAAAACCCATAAAACAGATGGGGGGGGGGGGGCCCTTGCCCATCCTCTGGAATATTAACTAAAATCGCACATTTCCACTAAATCGCTATTTCAAGCCATTTCCAGTCATGAAACTTATCAAGAAAGTCAAACCATAAAAACCATCCCAGAAAATGCACAATTGCTATTGTATAAACCTTGTAACAGGAAAGTTTCATACCTGAGACACTTTTTCAAAAATTCTAAGGCAAGATGGCAGTCTAGTATCTATTAAAAACATCCTCTGCAACTGGATTCAGAGTAAAGCCCAAGTTAATTCTGTTACATTCATTGTATTTCTGTACTTTGGAGCATTATAATTAGTGACTTGTGACACAATCATTGAAAAAATTTCAAACAAATGTTTTTCTGCCCAATTCATACATTCATATTTTGTGTACACTTCATGCATGTGTGGAGAGTTACATTTGTTTGGTAGAAATTGGTAACTGCCAGGCAAACTTATATTCTCATAACAGTGAATGGCTTGGGAAGTGCATAGCACAGGGTGTGGTGTGGGGGCATGGAACATTGTGGAGATGGTGAAGGGCTGTAAGCTTATGTAAAGTGTTGTCAGATATTTTTGGGAGAGTGAGGGAATATGAGAGGGGGGGGGAAAGACAGGCAAGGAAATGAAAAAAAAAGGGAAATAGGAGGGAGGGGTATAATAAGAAAAGAGGGAGGATTCTTCCGAGTACTTGACATTAAAAATTAATGTCATTGTTAAAAATAAACTACAGTGGACCCTCATTTTTCGTAATTAGTCCGTTCCAGAGAGTGTGACTATTATCGATATTGGCAATTTACGAATCCATTTTCCCCCATAAATAATGTAAATCCAATTAATTCATTCCAGACACCCAGAAGTATCAACAAAATTTTTTACCTTAGATTTACATGCACAAAAGAATGAACATTCAACATGACAGTTACCTTTATTGAAAGCTGTTGCTGATGAATGGAAGACAGGGAGGAAGAGAAGTTATTGTTTGGAAGGGGAATCCCTTTCCCTAAGGACTCTAGGTCACTTCCCTAGCTTTTAAAAATAGATTTTATATGCAGAAAAGAATGTCACTATAAAATGTATAAATGAACATTTAACATCATGCTACCTTTTTTTGAAGACTCTTGGTGTATGGCAGACAAGGCAGAGGGAGGGGAGTTTATTGTTAGAGAATGACACTAATATCAACTCTGTGGCTTATTTATCTATCATAATTCAACTAATATGACATAATAAACAATATTAATAACACAAACATGGAATATACTCAAGAATGAATAAGTCATTATGAAAGTCACAAGAGGTGTTGTTGGGCATATAAGGGCCACTGAGCATAAGCCATCCATAGTGGTGGTGAAGCAGCAGCATTTTCTGTAGCCCTATATTAACTCCAAAACATTGGAGGAGTTAGAATCGCTGAAGAAGGCACCCTCAACCC